AAATTTTAATATTTAAAATATCAAAATATTATGACTTTTACTTTTTTCAAAATTTAATAAATGTATGAATGATGGTAATTAATAATTTTTTTTTCTACATATTGAGTAATTTTCATTAAGCAGTATAGTTTCATTTGATAAACAAAAAAATTCAATTGTCATTCACTAACTTTGTTTCAAATCAATGAACAGTACAGTTTTTTGGGGTTTTTTTATTAATAATTTGAAAAGTTTACATATATTATTTAAAAAAATAAAATAGTATAGTTTTTTTGACTTTTTTAACCAAGAATTTGGAACTATTTATGAATTTACTTTTATTATTTATCAAAAACAAATAAAAGATAAATAAAAACTTTTTATAATAAGATGAATAATTAAAATAAACAAGTAATAATAAAATTAAAGTACAAAAAAATATTTATTTATTTTTAAAATAAAAAAACTACACTGCAAATTTAATAGTATTGCTTTGCTTATTTACAATTATCAATAAATTTATTTATTAAAATAATAAAAATTTATCTTTTTATTTTCACTCTTACTCATTATTAAACGGAAAAACTCCTGAGGCATTTTTATCTCTTTAGAGATTAGGGTGAAATTGAAATATTAACCATTAATATCTTATTAAAATAGAGAATAGAACAATTAAATTATATCACTTTTATGTAGAAAATGTGACAATTAAATCTCATATAAGAAAGTACGATTAATTAATTAATTAATTTAAGACAAATATAAAGTAAAAAAGGATAATTATTTTAAAAAGAAGAGAGTATATAGTGTGTTAGATTAATTAACGTTATCAAATATGGGCAGAAAGTTACGGAAGGCATATTTTCATGGAGGATGATTATCATTGATCGTAGATTAGAATTAAAACCCAAGTATGTCCACCTTTATTTATAATTAAATTAACAAATTTTAACACAATTTGTCTCTTTTAAAATAAGAGAAGTGCTACGGGCACTCGCTTTTTGCACTCTCCGGCAAACACTTCCCCTTTCATTGGGCCACGTAAGCTTCTTTAAAGCTTTCCGGCGCAATCTCTCGGAAACCAAAATAACGTGGCCCAATAAAAGAGAAAGTGTCGGCCGGAGAGTGCAGAAGGCGAGTGCCCCTAGCATTGCTCTTAAAATAAATATATAATTGAAATAATAATATTTAATATATTATTAAAATAAAAAATAAGACAATTAAATTTGATTACTTTTATTTATAAAGTGAGATAATTGAATATAATTATTTTATTTAAAAAGTAAAATAATTAAATTCAATTAAAATTTTTAATACATTTTTAAATTTGTAAAAAAATACTATATATTTTTAAGTAAATTACTTTATAAACTTTGTCTAATCACTTTGATTTACACTATGACTAAACGTCTATTAGGATTGGTAAATATTTATTTTTAATTTTTAATTTTAATAAATTTATAAGTTTTAATTTCTTATCTTATATTATAATATTTTTAATCTTTAACATATACGAATTATAACTCTTATTTAATATTTTATTAATTAATTGTTAATTTTATTAGTTGACT